CTAAGATTTGGGGGTAGCTGGTTATTCAATAATAGTAACTGGATCAGCAAGTGACATAAACCTCCTTTCCAGCACATGTGGTCTCTCCTTTTTTGCTGTCTTTTTACTAGACTTCACTCAGTGCTAATTGTTAATATTTATTCATTCTGTGATAATTTTATTTGAGATAGTTTTCTTTTCCAACCAGGTTATAAACTTCAAGACAGGAAATTAAAAAATTTTAGCAAGTACACCTCTGTTGCCTACTTTATAGCAAGCACTAGTCTAGGTGAATTAAAGCAGGCACAAACTTCATGCCTTAATGGAGCGTACATTTCAGTGATGTTTTATACCTAGATTACTCAAAGTGCCAAATTTATAATGGTTGATAATACGTTATTGATAAACACTAATGTTAAGCTTCTCAGTCTTAAGGTTTTTCTGAGTAAGTTTGCTTTGCATTAAAAATTTTAATAGACCCTATCAGCTTAAGTTGCAAAGAGTAACTGTTTTGAGTCAGAGCTAATTTGCTACTCCCATATTTAGTAGTGCTTCAGTAAAATTTCAATTAATGACATTAACATTAGTTTATCTTAAATACCTATTTTATTTAAAGTAGTACTTTATTTTGTAGTTGAGTGTAGTTTCCACACTGTGGTTAGTTTGTATTGCCTGTGTCAAATTTGTGTTAGATCTCAGAGTGGGGAGAGAAGAAAAGCCTTTCTTGGAATTTCCGTTCCTGTCCTACTGTGAAAACAGGCATGCAGATGGAAAGACGTCTACCAACAGTTGGGTTTTGTCAGCCCAAAGTGGCAGTGAGTAGTGAGTGGTTAGACATTGTGAAAACTGGGGAGGAAGGCAAAAAAAGCATTAAAATATGAAAATGGCACATTTTTGTTGTTCATGTTTACCATTTCTCACACTGTTCTCCTGAAAATTTCTTAAGGCACACAAACTGAAATACTTAGTGAGGGTTCCTGATTATATTTTTTGAAGTTACCACTCAAATGACATACTCTCTCCATCAAGCTTTTTATCAAATAAGTAGTAATTGTTTCCTTAGGATGCTTTGTTAAACCTCTAATAGAGCGTTAGTCATGTTTTGTTATACAACCCCCCACCCCATCCTCAGGGGGTATGTCCAGTACATCCCCAGTGGATGCCTGAAACCTTGGATAGTACTAAATTCTTTTTGTATTGTTTTCTCCTATACACACCTAGCTCTAATAAAATTTAGCTTATAAATTAGGCACAGTAAAAGGTTAACAATACTTAATAATAAAATAGAACAATTATAACAGTGTATTGCAACAAAAGTTATATGAATATGGTTGCGCTCTCTCTCTCTCTCTCCCCCTCCCTCGCTCCCTCCCTCTCTCTCTCTCTCTCCCTTTCTCTCAAAATACCTTATTGTCCTGTACTCCCCCTTCTTTTTGTGATGATGTAAGATGATAAAATGCCAATGCGATGACATGGAATAAGGTGAATGATGTAGGCATTGTTGACATAGCATTAGGCTACTGTTGACCATCTGGGGAAGTGTCAGAAGGAGGATCATCTGCTTGCAGACTGTGGTTGACTGTGGGTAACTGAAACCGCAGGAAGTGAAACCATGAATAAAGGGAGATCAACAGTATTGTATCTCTCCCTGAGTTGTGAGATACTCATCTCAGCGTCTTTATAGCAGTCTTATTCATAGACATCATATAAAATGCAAACTAGATTAAATTCTATTCAAATATAGTAGGTTACAACTAATGGTTAGTGATACTGAAGTCTCGGTCAGAAATCTAAATAGGTATTAGTTTTGTCAGAAATATGACATTGTCACTCTGATGCTTTACTGTTCAGAGTGGTAAGTTGTTCACCTTCCTTAAGATGTTTGTAAAAAGTATTACAGAGGCTTGTGCAGTTCAAGAAACAAAAAGAAAAGAAAAACTGAGAGAAACGCAGAGATCCATCTAGTTTTAACTTTTAACTTTCAAGATGTTTCCTAAGTTTATGTGAGCCTTTAAAAAAAGTATAGACACGGGGACCTTTTGCTGTCGTTCAAAGGCCACACTGCCTAGTCTGTGGTCTCTCAGAGTGCTGTTGTCTGAGTGAGAACCCACAACTACCATTTCCTCTTTTTCTAGTTTTTTAAGGTGAAAGTTTAGTTTATTCATTTGAGATCTTTTTTCTTTTATAATATAGGCATGTATACTGTAACATTTTCTCTAAGCAGTGCTTTCATTGCATCCCATAAGTTTTGGTATTGTGTTTTTGTTTTTTTTATCTCAAAGTATTTTCTGATTTTGATCATGATTTCTTCTTTGACCCATTGGTTATTTAATGGAGTCTGTTGTTTAATTTCCACATATCTATGAATTTTCCAAATGTCCTTCTATTACTGATTTCTAGTTTTATTCCATTGTGGTTGAAATACATACTTACTATGAATTCAGTCCTTTTAAGGCTTGTTTTATGGCCTAACATATAACCTATTCTGGATAGCATCCCCTGTGAACTTGAAAGTAATTCATGCTCTGCTATTTTTGAGTGGGATATTCCATAGATGTCTGTTAGGTTTAGTTGGTTTATATTGTTAATCTAATCCTTTTCTTCCGCCTGCCAAATCTGTTGAACCCCTGTAGTAATTTTTTCACTTCATTTATTGTACTTTTCAAAGCAGAATTTCTTTTTTTTTTTAAAAAAGTTTATTTACTCTGAGTAAGAAAGAGAGCTCAAGTAGGGGATGGGTAGGGAGAAGTGAGAGAGAATCCCAAGTGGGCTCTATACTGTCAGCATGGAAGCCCTATGCCAGGTTTGAACACATGAATGGTCAGATAACAACCCGAGCTGAAATCAGGAGTTGGATGAGTTGGATGCTTAACTGACTGAGCCACCCAGGTGACTCTCTAGAACGAGCATGAATGGGGGAGAGGAGCAGAGGGGGAGAGAGAGAAAGAATCTTCAACAAGCTCCATGCTCAGCATGGAATCCAGCACAAGACTTGATCCTATGACCCTGGAATCATGACCAGAGCTGAAATCAAGAGTCATATGCTCAACTGATTGAGCCACTCAGCGCCCCAGAATTTCTATTAAAAAACAATTCTGCCTTTTAATTTATATTTTGTGAAGCGTTGCTATACTTTCCTTTAGTTCTTTAAATGTGATTTTCTGTAATCCTTTGGACATATTTTAAATAGCTGAATTAAAGTCTTTGTCTCAGAAGTCTAATGACTGAGACTTCTCACTAAGAATTTCTGTTAATTGCTTTTTTCCCCCCTGTATATGAGTCATACTTTCTTGTTACTTTGCAAGACATAAATTTTATTGAAGACAGGACACTTAAATAGTATATGGGGCAATTCCAGAAATCAGATTCTCCTCTCTTCCCAAGGTTTGTTGGCTTTTTATGGTGGTTGGTTGGTTGCTTGCTTGCTTCCTTGCTCATGACTTTTCTGAATTAATTCTATAAAGTCTGTATTCTTTTTTCTCTGTGGCCACTAAAGTCTCTGCTTTGTTAGCTTAGTGGTCAACTAATGTATGGACACAGATTTCCTTAAAAGCCTAGAACCAATAAGTTCCCAGTCTTTGCAGAAGAACTCTGTGTAGGTACTGGGGCATACCTTCAGCACTCAGGCATTTGACAACTCTGTGTTAACCTTTACTTCCTACTTGTACAGAGCTTCAAGGTCAGTCATAGATGAGAACTTAGAGTCTCTCAGGTCTTTTCTGAGCTTGTACATAGCCTTACACATGTACATACCCTTGTAGATTCCCGGGAATATGTCATAGCCTTTCAGAGTCATTTATGTATATCTCATTCCCCAGGTTTTCCTTTTAAGCTAAAGTTAGCTGATTGTGTGCCCTGTTATCCATTTCCTCAGGCATATGCCATATTAAACAATTGCCTTTAATTATTTTCAACAAATGTCCCCAGAGAAAAGGTTTTATGCACTGGACAAGCTCCAATTTAAATCAAAGAAAGACATCCCTGCAAGTGGGGTCTTCTAGAAAACCATCAGATAGTTGAAATAATGATAATTTTCCAGGATGTGGTTTCGAAGGAGCTCCCAGCCCATTCTGCTCCCTTTGATAGCTGTTACGCTACTGGTTTTTACCATAGTTGTAGAATGTTGATTTTCAAGGATACTGTGGAGCTAGGGCAGGGGAAGAAGAATGAAAATAAGGGCACATCAAAACCCTGCAAAGCTCCTTTTCTTACCAAGATATAGCTGTTTTTCTTGAATAAACAATGCTTGGATTGCTGCAAGGTTTGAATTAATTTCCAGAGTTCTGGAACAGTTGATTTTGACTATTTTTGCAAGTTTTCTTGTTGCTTTTATGGAGGAGAGACTGGAGATCTTTACTCTGGTGTTTTTGCATCACTCCCTTCCTTTCTTTTCTCCTCTTTTGAGAAGTAACTCTCTCTTTTTTCTCTTTTCTTTTTTGCCTCTTCAACTTAAAACACCAGAAACTATTCCATTTCTTCTGTGACCATCCAACTTTATTTTTCTCAGTCAGAGGACAGGGATGTCTTCTATGTTCTTGACAGTTTCTGTTTTTTCACTTCTGTCTCTCCTATGAGTTTTCTTAAAGCTGTGAGAACAGTTCAGAATTAATAACTCATAAATTATCCCACCCTATAAAGGAGGTTGGGGGGAAAAAAGTGATGTCAGTCAAATAGATTACTGCCAGCTAAAAAAAAACCCAACAGTTTTAGATCAAGGAAAAATAGAAAATAAATTTTAGAATTTTAAGAAAGCTTTTTTTTAAAGGTTATTTATTTTGAGAGAGAGAGAGAGAAAGGGTGGGGGAAAGGCAGAGAGAGAGGGAGAGAGAGAGAATCCCAAGCATGCTCAGCACTGTCAGTACAGAGCCCAGTATGGGGCTCGAACACACAAACCATGAGATCATGACCTGAGCCAAAGTTGGATGCTTAACCGATTGAGCCACTCAAGCACCCAAGAGAGGTTTTTAAATTATCTGCTTCTATAACTGTTTCTTATTTTTTATTATTTTGTCCCTTATCAGGATGCCCGACATGCAGCAGAAGGAGAAATATATACCAAACTTAATCAAAAAATTGATGAATTTGTTCAGCTCGCTGATTATGACTGGACAATGTCTGAGCCAGATGGAAGAGCTAGTGGTTATTTAATGGATCTTATTAATTTTTTAAGAAGCATCTTTCAAGTGTTTACTCATTTACCTGTAAGTATGAAAAATTCCAAAAAATTTTATTATGATATGCTCACTAAAATATATTTAGAATCTAATATTAATTTGAGGTTTACTTGCTTAAACCAACTTCATGGCTTGAATATTTTCTTTCCATTATTACAGATCTATTTATAAAGAATTCTAACCTAGAATTGTTTGAAGTTTTAACTTATTTTACTTTTAGCCAAAATAACTACCAACTCTTTTCTACCAAAACCAAACAAAACCCTGAAATTCGATATAGACTTAAATTGACATAAACTCTTAGTAGGGGTGGTTCTCATTAAAGTCAATATAATCAATAACTTTTCCAGTTAGAAAGGTCAAGAAACTATGGGTATTTTTAGGCCAGAGGCAAAAGGTAAAGCTGGAACATTGTTCTATCCTGATATACAATAATAGTGCATCTACATTTTGAACAATCTATTGATGAAATATATATATATATGTAATAAATATATATATACACATATATAGATGAAACATTATATATATGTGAATATATATAATATATATATATAAATAGCAGGGATATTTGGGTTTGAATAGGCTGAAGCATTGGATTCTTCAGATGAGGAATGCAAAGACCAAAGAGTTTCTCTTGGAATGAACATGCTTTTCATTAGGTGTATTCAGAAATAATAGAACTATTAAAACATGAGTGAAGTAGTTTTTGTACAAATAAAATAGAAAAAAAGTTTGTTGAGCTTTTTATTTCACAGTAAAATGTAGATGAACACAAGAGAAAAAAATCCACCTGGTTTGAAATAATAGAAAGAAAGAGAGAAAAGAAAGGAGATGTAGGTGAACACAAAAATAAAGTATTTAATCTCAAGCCAGCCTCCTCAACAACCTCCATCCATCTCTCCTGTTTAAAATGAAAAAAAAAAAGTTATTCTCCTAAATTTTTTTACTCTCTCCATTGTGAGTTTCTCCAAAGGGCCATTTAGAATAGTTGAAGGCAGATGCTGCTAAAAAAAAAATAAATAGAAGAATTTTCTAAAGAGATTTTAATAGTAGATCTGTGCCAAAGAACTTTTAGAAGCTTACTCAAGGATTATATTATATTCCTAACTATTCTCCTTGTGTTAAAAAAGGGAACCTGTATATGTGTTTAATTCTTGTTTCATCTAATTTCTAAGAAAGTGTTCCTCACACAGTGTATTTTAAATAATTGTTGAATTAATTTGAATTCACATTGCCAGTATCCATCTCCATGTTTCTAGTCAAAAACAGTCTACAAGAGTAAACATATCTGTGTGCACACACATGTACACAGATACATAACATATTTTTATGTTGCAATATCTGTTTCAGAGCTTGGCATGATGTGACGGGTAGGAATTTTGTGCATAAATTGGCAAGCTGAAGAGAGGTTATATGTTGGAAATGGTTGGAGCAAATATCTCACTTCAGGAGGCTAACATCTGGAGGGAAATCCTCCTTTCTCCTACTGTAGTAACACTGAGAGAGACAGATTCCTGGACTGACTAGATCACTCATGCAATCTGTTATGATATTCGATATAGTTTTAGGTGATTCTTCATATGCCATTTTGGATTTTTATGTCATTTAACATGAGTTTTCCTGTAAAGGAAATAAAGTGTTGTACAGTGCAGACCAACAAATACAGTAAGTATAGGGCATGATCAGATTAATAGAAAATTATATTTCACAGCTAAGAAAAGAGAAAATGGACATAACAATATATTCCTATTCAAGGAATAAACTAGAAACATAATTCCAAAGCAAAAATATTAAATTATTCACTATTGTAAGTTTTAGCTAGAGTTGATCATTTTATTATGGCTTAGTATATTCTCTGAAATATGAAATTGTATAAAATATTTGACTGTCTTTTTTTCTTTTAAGTAAAAAACAGAGGCAATATTATTAAATGTACTATTTTTCTAAGAAACATAAGTTATGTAAGCTACCATTTTTGTTTGAATGTTTTATGCTGAAAATGATTTCTTAGTTTCAGGTTACCCTTGGGCCCAGATAGAGAGAGAGGCCAGTTCTGGACTCCTTCCATTCTCAAAGAAGCTTAAGAAGGCTATTTACAACATTTAGTCCCAAATCAGTCAGCTTTAGTGGAAGTAGCTATCCCACTTACAGACATGGAGGGTTAAGTAGTAGCCATGTGCCCTAACTATCCAAGCTTTGACATTGTTCAGGGTCAATGCAGTGAGTTAGAGTCAATGGGAGCTGTGAGACCAAGGACCATTCTTTTGGATGGTGAAAGTATTGCCTATTAGTGCAAATAATTAGACACAAAAGTAGATTCTGTAGGATAAAGCTGACTCTTTCACTACACAACCCTAAAATGTACCTACAACAGAATACTTAGTTTAAAAGCTCCACTTTTACTTTCTTTGCGTATTTAGTTTCTGTCAGTACCTGCCATTGTTGTAAAAGAATATTTTCTCGGGGCGCCTGGGTGGCTTAGTCGGTTAAGCGTCCGACTTTCGCTTAGGTCATGATATCGCGGTTCGTGGATTCGAGCCCCGCGTCGGGCTCTGTGCTGACTGCCGACTTGGAGCCTGGAGCCTGTTTCAGTCTGTGACTCCCTCTCTCTCTGACCCTCCCCTGCTCACACTGTCTCTCTCTCTCTCCTAGAAATAAATAAAACATTAAAATTAAAAAAAAAAAGAATATTTTCTCAATCACAGGAAATCGTGATGTCCAGTTGCTGACCATATTCCTGCTAAAGGTTCCAATGGTTCCAAAAAAGTTATAATCCAACCAATAGAATTCTGTTGTCTGTTCACAAGATATGAGAACAACAGAAATTAATGGATATTAATGGTTTTGTTGGAGCCCAAGGAAAGAACTTTTTGTTATTTTCACTTTTTAACTACATTGTGGTAGCAATAGAAAGCTGTAGGATTCAGAAGACCAATAATATTCACTGTAGATACTTCTTATTTCTCGGGTTGGATGAGTAATAGAATTGGTATATTGCTTCCCTTACCTGTGTCTCTTCACTTGCACTGTTCCAGCCAGTACAGGTCTATGTAGGAAATGGAAAAGTAAAGTAATTGAATATGCTTCCATATGAAAATATTTATCAGCTCTCTGCTGACCATAGAAATTGATAGCAAGCTAAATAGGCAGTATTTGCAATAATGACTAGTATTACCCCATTACCCAAAATGTTAAGCTGCCTTGTTAAACATATTATCTGCTTCAAGGGAAATTGCCTTTTTGACTCAATTAAAACAAAACCCATTTATCTTTTATTAGTCTTGGGGTCCAGGTTGCTGAAGTGAGGAGAGCATAGGATGGGCTCTAGAGTTAGAATGACTTCTGCTTGAACCATAGATTTATAATTTACTAGCTCCAGAATCCTGGCAAGTTGCTTAACCTCTGAGCCTTTTACCTTCACAAAATGGTTATAATCCATTTTCCCATAGGACTATCATAGGATGAATTAAAATAGTATATAAAAAAGTTTCCTGGTAGGGTGCTTGGCATAAAGTAAGTACTGTTAATAAGTGTTTTGTCTTCTCTTTTCTGCCTCTATTACTGTTCTAAGGCCCTTTTTAAAATTTTTTTTTCTACATTTATTTATTTTTGAGAGACAGAGATAGAATCAGCAGGGGAGGGTCAGAGAGAGAGGGAGACACAGAATCTGAAGCAGGCTCCAGGCTCTGAGCTGTGAGCACAGAGCCCGACGTGGGGCTCGAACTCACGACGGTGAGATCATGACCTGAGCTGAAGTCAGATGCTCAACCAACTGAGCCACCTAGGCACCCAGACCCTTTGTAGTATTAGTTTCACTTTAATGTGCTTTACTTTTTTGTGTGTTGTATTTATGCCTACATTTTTAGCTTGATATTATTTAGCTCCGAGTTCTATACTTTTGCATTATATAGCCATTGAAAAATTTGATTCTATAAGATATTCACTATAAAGTGCATTGATGTGACTAAATAAGTATAAGTTGAGTGCATTACTTATAATGACTAACAGATGCCAGTGAAGTCATATTACTCTGTGAAGAAAATGTTATTTCATTCCTAGATTAATATTCTTGGAATCTAAAATTTGATCCCCAAAATAATATTTATTTTCTTAATGTTTCAGATATGCAAATAACCCTTCTTATTTCTAATATTTTTTTTCCTGACAATAGAAAATATATCTAAGTATAGAAGAAATAAGCATTACCTGTTATCTTGTCAAGAGAACCACTTAACATCTTGGCATGTATTATACAAGTCATTTTCTTCTGTGCAATTATAAGACTTGGTTTAAGTCTGATTTATAAGTAAGTTTTGTTTTTTTACAAAAAGATTTTATATTAACTAGAAAACTTAAAACCAAAGGAATTATAAGAAGTTTTTAAACATTCATTCACCACTTACTCATATGTAAATAGAAAAGATTGTTAAGCAACTTGAATATACCTAGTTACTCTTCATGAAGACTGCCAAATGGAATTCAGTAACATTTTACTGTGAGTGTACTGCCAAAAAACCCAGCACTGGTCTGCTTCTAGACAGAACAAGGAATATTTCCTTTCTTCATAAATGCTGATAGTCATGTGTTTGTTTCAATAAAGATATTTTATGGATTTACAACCACTAAAGGATATGTATAAATGGTAATGACTCTTTAATTTCTTCATATGTGTATTTGCAAAGGGGACCCAATTTACCCAAATTTTATACTAACAAATCGTTATCTTCTACAGTAGAAGTAAATGAAAGATCATGAATGATGATCATATTTCTTCCTTTCTCTGAACTCTATTTTATCTTTAGCCACAATGTAGTTTTCTGTGCTTTTATTTGCTACTACTCTATAGAATTCTTAAATAACTGATCTTGTTTCTGTTTGAATTGTAAATACCAATTTTTCTTCCATGAAGGATATGTGTTTCTTTGCTTTCAAACATATTTAACTTTTGGTTTTCTGCATTAATAGAAGTCTGGTGATGAATAATATAAAAAATAGACACAATTCAGGGCACCTGGGTGGCTCAG